AGCGAGGATTTATTGAAAGCTGGCCAGCGTCTGCAACAGGTGCCTCCACACAGGGAGCCCCATCCTGCTGCAGCCCAGAGCCTTTCTCTTGGAGCCTATTTAAGGGTGTTAACCATCAATGGAAACCGGTGTGGTGTCACACCTGGCTGGAGCATTTAACCACAACCTATTCCTTTACAAGCTCAATGGAAATCGGTGTCACATCTGGCTAGAGCGTGTCCGGGCCTCCAAGAAGTACAGATTAACATCAAGATACATAGAGTACAAAGAAGTTACACAATTTTCTTTACGTCAGTTAAAGGTTACATATCTATACCCATTTCACTATATGACGCTAAGCGTGCATGCCCATCACAGGTTGATGCTCAAACACTGAGCCACGCCGGCCGAGTGTGAGTTTAAATTTTAAAAGAGGAAAGAAGAGACTGAAAGAAATGTTTTACTTGCTTTGGGTTATACTCTAAACATAAGGGTCAGGGGTTACCTGGTTAAGAGTCTGCCTTTGGGAGTATTTCCATAGAAGAGTCTGCAAGCCATGTGTGTGAGGAGCCATCTCCTGCCGGATGCACAGTGGGGCGGTCAGGACTCATCCCTAACAGTTCCCTGATGAGTCCTGGCTCTCTTGGGCTTCAACCACCAGCACCAGGATGAGAATCAGGCCTGGCAGGCCAGTGAGGGGCCAGGGCAGGGGTCCTCTCCTGCAAAAGTACTAGGAGCATCAGAAAGGTGGGCGGGAAGAGTCTCTTTTCAGACTCCAGGGTGACAGGCATGGGAGGAGATAAGTCAGTCTATTCCAGTCATCAATGCCTCTATTTGTGTTTTGTGCATCTGTTTATTTTGTTTCTTAGATTCCACTGATAAATGAGATCATACGGTCTTTCTCTTTCTCTGACTGGCCTATTTCCCTTGGCATAATAATCCAGGCCCATCCCTGCTGTTGCAAAAGGTAAGATCTCCCTTTTTGATGGCGGAGTAGTATTCCATTATGTAAATGTACCAATCATCTACTTTTTATGTAAAGTACATAAAAAGACAAGACAGAGGAACCACTGCTCCAGAGGATCCAATGTAGAGGTGTTGCCCACGCCTCTGGGATCCTCCCCCTGGTGTGGTCCTCAGGCTCGCCAGCAGGGGGAGGCAGTAGTATTCCATTATGTAAATGTACCAACTCATCTACTAATGGGCACTTGGGATGTTTTCAGATCTTGGCTGTTTTAAGTAGGAGTGCATATATTCTGTCAGCATAAGAATATTCAAAACTGTAGAGAATTTTTATGAGTTTATTTGAGCCAAGCTGACAATGATTGCTGGAAAGCAAAACCTCAACAGACTGAGGAAATGCTCCAGAAAATGCCAGCTCAGCACCCTGCTTTATATATACATCACTATCAAAAGAGAAAACCGAAGTGGGCTACGTGAAATCCACTGGTGATCTCTGGCTCTGCTCCGCAGCGCCTGCGCTTTGAGGGGTCCGGACAAAGGGAAATTACTTTGTTTTCTGCAAAGGTATGTTTACCAGGTATGTTGTTCTAGATGCAAAAAGACGACAGTCTTAGTTAAGGTGAAGATTGACCTTTGTCAGGGAAGATTCTAGCGTAGGACAAGACTACCTGCCATAAACTTTCGGTTCAACAGTTTTAATTTTAGACCATCCTATGAGCTTACTTTCGGTCTCTGAGGCCTCCCCAGAGCTTGTCAAGTTTAGCCCGTGGCCCCTTTTGGTCCATAATTTTTCGCATCAGTGTTTTGTGAAACGCTATATTCCCAGAAGTGGGATCACTGGCTCAAAAGGCAGTTCCATTTTTAACTTTTTGAGGAACTTGGCACTGCTCTCCACAGTGGCTGCACCAGTCTGCATTCCCACCAGCAGTGCACGAGGGCTCCCTTTTCTCCACCTCCTCCAGCCACACTTCTGAGTTTCCGTCCAGCTAAACCCAGTCTTCCACCTGGCTTCTCTGTCCTTCTCTGCACTTTGACCCCCACGTCCTGTGGATCTGTGGCTGACGTCCTGTGTGTTGGGAATCTGTGGCCAGGCCTCCTGGGACTGCCACAGAAATAGTTCATGAGGAACCAATTTCACCAGAGCAGAGGGCATGACTGGCCAAAACCAGGGTAAGCTCAGCCCAGTGCCAGGCACACAGTTAAGGAGTTAGTTAATGAATCAGTTTCTGGCTGCTATGTCTGCTTCTGCTGAGAATGTCTGCTGTTCGTACATGTTTGCCTCTTGACAACCAGACCCTTGGACTATTCCTGACTTCCAAGCCCTGGGATGAAGCCATCATTCCTTTGTGTGACACTGCACTTATATTTCAGCAGAGACACTTCTAAGCTCCTTGCTTCAGTTTGGCTGATAAGTTCACAGTCACATATCCAGGAAGACGTAATTACATCTTCTGGGTTTGAGGAGACTTCTCAGCAGGGGGTAGAATTAGGCACTCATAAATCTGAAGGAGCATAAAGTGTTCTCGAGGAAATTGGGGTGTCCTCTTCCCCACCAGGTGCTGGGGTTGGGGTCCTTATGATATCTCAAGAAAAAGAATTTTCTAAGACTTGCATGGGAGGATGAGTGACTTTTATTTGTGTGGAATTCCATCCCTGGGCTTCTAAGGTCCCATTCCCTTCCTGGAGGAAGTGTAGCTGGCGTTTCAGTGAAGCTAAATCAGAACTGGGGTCCAGGGTTTCCGTTCCATGTTGTAGCCGGGTCCCGCTCAGCATCAGGCTAGTGACAGTCCATCAGTCCATTGTGTGTGGGGTCCACATGGCCATGGCAAATGCAGGAAACAGGAGCGAGAGAGCCCCAAAAGTCAGGAGTCAAGAGCAACCAAGAGAACGAACGTCTTTATTCAGGGGAATAAATACCCCACGTTACATGCCCTTGCAGTGGCCACACCTATTCTGGCCAGTGGGCTGTTCTGAGGTGTGACTGACAGCAAGCACTTTCCTTTTGTCACCCTCAGTTTACTGGGCGTGTGTCTATTCTCCTCTCTGTCCAATCTGTGGGAATAGACCTGTGGCTCCCTGGGGAGTGCAAAGCTTTAGCGTTCTGGTGAAACTGCCCAAATGACATTCCCGTAATATTTGGCCTCCTCTTTGCTCCTTTACTGGTATTAACAACTAGAGGCCCGGTGAACAAAATTTGTGCACTGGGGGAGGGGGGTCCCCTCAGCCTGGCCTGCACCCTCTCTCAATCTGGGACCACTGGTTCCAAACTGCTTGCCTGCATGCCTGCCTGATCACCCCTAATCCCTCTGCCTGCATGCCCCATCGCCCCAAACCACTTGCCTGCCTGCCCCATCACCCCAAACCACTCGCCTTCCTGCCTCATCGCCCCAAACCACTCGCCTGCCTGCCTCATCACCCCTAATCACTCGCATGAATGCCCCTAACTGCTGGCCTGCCTGCCTGATCACCCCTAACCACTCTGCCTGCCTGCCTGATCACCCATAACTGCTCTCCTGCCTGCCTGATTGCCCCTAACCACTTCTGCCTGCCAGCCTGATCACCCCCTAACCACTCCCTTGCCAGCCTGATTGACGCCGAACTGCTCCCCTGCCGGCCCGATCTCCCCCAACTGCCATCCCCTGCAGGCCTGGTTGCCCCCAACTGCCTTCCCCTGCAGGCCTGGTCATCCCCAACTGCCCTCCCTTGCTGGCCTGGTCAACCCCAACTGACCACCCCTGCTGGCCTGGTCGCCCCTAACTGCCCTCCCTTGCTGGCCTGATCACCTACAACTGCCTTACCCTGCTGGCCATCTTGGGGCTGTGCATGCTGCCATCTTTGAGGGCGGGACAGTCAATTAGCATATTCCCCCCTCCTTATCTGTGGGCACCGCCATCTTTGGGATGGTGTGAGGGTCAATTAGCATATTCCCTCTTTATTAGATAGGATTAGCTAATTACAATAGCATTGAAAGGATAGTTTTCCAGGAAGGAACTGTGTTCTTTGTTCTTCCTCAGTTTTTCTGGTCATGTCATTGAATTCGTTTGTTTTCTTTGGGATGACACAGGAGGGAGTGCAGTGCTGTTTAGATGACTTTCTCGTAGATAAATAGCTTTGGTGTGTCTGGCGATGTGGGCAGTGAGTGGGGTTTCTCCATCTGCCAAGCAAACACAAGAATGTAGAGCGCTGAAGGTAGGCAGGCCTCCGTACCCCTCACGGATACTCTTCACCTCCAAGGTTAACCCAAGCCTCCCAACTGCGCCTGCTCCACTGTGTGATCACTCCGACCTTAGAGAAACCATGCCTTGAGGTTAACCCACATTTATCGTGTTGAACGCTTAAGGAGCTGAACTTTTCTTCCAATAATCCACCAGAACCAACCTTTCCTTTTACTAAGTAAACTGCTTTCCCATTCTCATCTATTCTGATCTGGTCTGAAGGGGAGACAGAAGGCATCACTGCTTCTGCCAAGTGTGATCTGTGAAGGAATGAACTTTAAAGCTTACTACCTTTGCAGGTAGACTCAGTGGGGTGTGCAAACCAGATGCATCATAGGTAGAATACAGAAAAGCAAAGCAAACCTCTCCTGCTTCCAGTTAACTGGTGGCTCAGAAGCAAGCTGAGTCTCCTCCCAGGCACAGCCTCCCACAGCCTTTTCTACCTTATCCGTGTCCCCAGTCAGCGTCCTGCTGATTTTTCTACCATTCTTACCTAGAAGCTCTCTCCTACTCTGTTTGTTCCACATTACCCCCATTTGATTCCTAAACACAATTCTCATCTAGTCTCTATATTCTATGTAATTGTAAGCAAAGGGAATGGGGACATCCTGGGGAACTTCTAATTCCATACCAGGAAACATGAAATCCCTGGGGCCCAAGAAATTTTAAACTAAGATTGAACTAGCAGAAGTGATAGAACAACTAAGATGAAACTCAGCTCTAATGCTTCTTACCTTTTGGGGTATTTGCACTGTGCAATAAAGAGGATGTACTGAATTTTCCTCTGGAATAGTTTTCTATTTAAAAAAAAAAGAAGAAGAAATCATCATCCATCATCTGGGTCACATAAACAAGGCCAAAGAGATACCGAGAACCCAAAGGAAAGAAAGCAGAGAAGGGAGGAGAAAGCGAGAGGGACAGAAGGTTCTGGAACAGGAATGGGTAGTGGAAAGTGCTCTTGTTGATGTCTGTAATTATAATTATTAATAATTTGTTCACAAAATAATCAGATTATTTTAAAACTGTGTTGTGTTTAAGTGAACTTAAAATATGTAAGATCTAGCACTAGCCAGTTTGGCTCAGTGGATAGAGCGTCGGCCTGCGGACTAAAGGGTCCTGGG